ATAGTCATTTGAAAACAGTTCTGCACAGGGGTTTTGGGAGGGGCTGCACATATTCCTTCTTCACAGTGTTTTCTCGCACCTTTGCCCACAGCACTTATCCAGTGCTATGCATGAGTACCCATATGGCTGTAAGAGGTGACAGTTTGGTGGGGGTGGAGATGGAGTGGGGTTAAAAGCACTGTTCAGTGTCATGTATCTTCACTGTTAATTGTCTATTAAATCATTAACTACAACACCTTTAGGGGTTTCATTCTGGTGCTTTGGACAGCAACAGTTATTCATTGCTCTGAACTACGGTGTGGGTGGGTGGGTTGGTTTATTTTACGTTAGGAAAAGTGTGGCTGTGGGTACAGAGAGAGGGAGAGGCAGGAAGAGCATTCAGTGTATTTCTTTGGCACCACATATTTGAAGAACTGCGACCCATCCCTAATATGTGGGACCTGTGTTTGATCATACTGGGAAAGTAAGGTGCATCCGTGAGTGATGTGAACAGTAGCTCTTGCTTACAAACGTTCCTAGAGAATGGGGCCAATCCGGTTTTGGGACAGGAACACATTAATAGGCAAAACCACTGGAAAGTGGGCAAATGTCAGTGTCTGTGGACTTGTCTCCTCCCACTCCTCTGACAAGGAGGGAAAAGCTGCAGAAAGTCATGAGGGGAGACAAACAGGGACATGTTCTGTGTGGGGTTGGGGAACTGGACAGAGGCTGGGCTACAGGAACTGGATCAGGCTCCTGCATGCTCAGGGATTACCCTGCGAGGCAGTTTGGGTGGCAGTGGAGAAGTCTGTGCCATGTGTCTAGCACCCTCCTTTCCAGCAGGAGTGGGTGGGATTCACCACCTCAGCAGCAGCCTGGGTGGCAGATGGAGGAGGAAGAGTGCAGGCTCCAGAAGCTTTCCCCCACCAGTACCAGCAGCTGCATGGTCCTGTTGTGATCTTGTTCTCCCCGGGCATTGCTCCTGCTCCAGGAACTGCTTTCAGTGCCACCTCCCCCTTTGCCTGAGACCCTGCTCCTCCCTTGCCCTAAGAACTCCAGCTGCTCCTGGTACCTTCTGTCAGTGCCAAAGAGCAGGTCCTCCAGGGTCCTTCTCTCCCAGTCTCTGTTCAGTTGCTCCTGTCTTCCCAGCAGGACAGGTTCCCTGTGGAATCTCCTGGCATGCTGAGGACAAGGCCAGCCTCCCATTTCATTTCTCCTTTGAAGGAGCCTCCAGAATCCCCCATATACTATCACTTGTCAGGATCCCAGGAATGCTCCTGTCACGGCCGCCCCCTATCCAACAGTGTTTGCAGCCCAGCAGGAAGGAGCTGAGGGTGTAAATGGTAAGATACCTGCAGTGCTATTCTGACCTCTTCTGGAGAACTCTGCAGCATTCAAAACACTGGACTGGCAAGAGAGAAGTGGCTTTCTAGTCCTGTGGAGGGCACTGGCCACCTGTCACCGGGAGACGCTTCCATTAAAGCTGAATGGATACGTATTGCTGAGCAGATGGATCTGGTGAGCTACAAAGGTGGACCAGGCATGTTTACTCCACCACTAAATCTGAAGAATCACCTTGAATATGTTACACCAGAACTTTTCTAAATTATGCTTAACAGGACTGGAAAGTGATTTAAGAGGCAATTTACTGACTGAATTTTCAGCGAGCAGATTGAGTTCCCGTGCAAGAGGAGCACAGAACCACAGACAACATCTTTATGCCTTGCCAGCAAGTCTGGCTCTAATGTCCAGCAAATACCACTGAAATACCAGTCAAATAGTCCCCAGTGCATTTTCTTCCCTAAACTATTGGTCACTTCTCCACTGTGATGGGGCACAATGCTGTTTGTGGAATCACCAGAGCAGATGCTTCGCCCACCCATGCTTCTTTGTTTCACTCTTCACAAGAAGTTTGATGGTGATGGGATGCCTAACCTAGTGAATGCTGGTGGAAATGGGGTAGGGTTAGAAGTTGAAATAAAAAAAACGAGTTAAAATTACTTAGAAAAGTTAGAAGTCTTCAAATCCTAATGAAATGCATCCTAGAATACTCAAGGAGCTGATAGAGGAGGTATCTGAGCCTTTAGCTATCATCTTTGATAAATCATGGAGGTCGGGAGAGAGTCAAGAAGACTGGAAAAGGGCAAATCTAGTGCCCATCTGTAAAAAGGGAAATAAGAACAACCCAGGACACTACAGACCAGTCAGGTTAACTCCTGTTCCAGGGAACATAATGGAGCAGGTAATTAAGGAATTCATCTGCAAACATCTGGAAGAAAATCAAGTGATCAGTAACAGCCAGCATGGATTTGTAAAGAACAAATCACATCAAACCAATCTGATAGCTTTCTTTGATGGGCTGTCATGCCCTGTGGATAAGGGAGAAGTGGTGGACGTGGTATATCTAGATTTTAGCAAGGCATTTGATATGGTCTTGCATGACCTTCTTATCAATAAACTAGGGAAATGCAACCTAGATGGGGCTACTACAAGGTGGATCCATAACTGTTTGGATAACTGTTCTCAGAGAGTAGTTATTAATGGTTCACAGTCATGCTGGAAGGGCAGAACAAGTGGGGTTCCTCAGGGGTCTGTTTTGGGACCGTTCTGTTCAATATCTTTATCAACAATTTAGATGATGGCATAGAAAGTATACTTATTAAGTTTGCAGATGATATCAAGCTGGGAGGGGTTGCAAGTGCTTTGGAGGATAGTCATAATTTAAAACGATCTGGACAAACTGGAGAAATGGTCTGAGGTAAATAGAATGAAGTTTAATAAGGACAAATGCAAAGGAAGGAACTTAGGAAGGAACAATCCTTTTCACACATGCAGAATGGGAAGCAACTGTCTAGGAAGGAGTACGGCAGAAAGGGATCAAGGGGTCATATGAGTCAGTGTGACGCTGTTGCAAAAAAAGAAAACATGATTCTGGGATGCATTAACAGGAGTGTTGTGAGCAAGACACGATAAGTCATTCAGATCTACTCTGCGCTGGTGAGGCCTCAGGTGGAGTATTGCATCCAGTTCTGGGCACCTCATTTCAAGAAAGATGTGGAGAAATTGGAGAAGATCCAGAGAACAACAAAAATGATTTAAGGTCTAGAAAACATGAGCTATGAGGCAAGACTGAAGGAATTGGGCTAGTTTAGTTTGGAAAAGAGATGACTGAATGGGGACATGTTAGCAGTTTACAAGTATCTAAAAGAGTGTCACAGGGAGGAGGTGGGAAAATTGTTCCCCCTGGCCTCTGAGGACAGGACAAGAAGCAATGGGCTTCAACTGCAGCAAGGGAGGTTTTGGTTGGACATTAGGAAAAACTTCCTAACTGTCAGAGTGACTAAACACTGGAATAAATTGCCCAGGGAGGTTGTAGAATCTCCACCACTGGAGATAGCGAAGAGCAGGTTAGACAAACAGCTATCAGGGATGCTCTAGATGGTGCTTGGTCCTGCCATGAGGACCGGGGACTGGACTTGACCTCTCGAGGTCCCTTCTAGTATTCTATGATTCTTCCCCGTCCCCTTCAAAGAGACTCTGCATGGGGAGAGACCAGCAGCAGGGACTGAGAATGGTAATAAATGTTTGCAATGAACACTGGGAGAAATGGACCGCTTTGACTTTCCTTGGATAGCTACATGATTCCTTTTCCTTTCCCAGGCCTACATGGGCCACCGTTCAACCCATCCACCACCACTGCCTTCTGCACTGCTCCTGTTTGCAAGGGGAAGGAAAGGGGGTGGCTTGAGGTCTTTGAGCAACCATAACATATCATAAAGCTGCTCTGCTCCCTCCCTTCCTTTCCCATCTGTTCATGCAGCCCAGGGACTATCACTGTTCAGAGTGCTGGCTGAGACATGCACAGACATGGGCTCAGTAACTGCTTGTTAACAATCTCTTATAGCCCCCACTATATGCTTTACACTGGTTCATGGCATTTCAGTACAATAATTGATTTGCAGCTGGACCGTGTTGGGGTGCAGCAGCAGGAAATGAGGGGGGCTGGCTTCCCACGTGTTTCTGGAGCAAGAGGGGATATTTCCAGGGAGCACGGGGATTTATTGTAACTCACTAGCCTCAGATTCCGGTTCTCACCCTGCTCAGGAAGCGAGAGAGACAGTCACATGCTCCTGTTCCAGGTCTCTTGGTGCTTCCTCTGGGACTGCCCTTGTGGTCCCTTCCCCTCATCAGCTTCCCATTGTATGATGAGACAAGCAGGGCTGAGGAGGGTTCCCTGCTCATGGCCCTGGAGAGCACCTGGTCCAGCTCATCATAGCAGAGGCATGTGCAAGGCCCCTCCCCAAGGGATTGCTGGAGTCCTTCACCCTTCACAGCAGGCTCTTGAGGGGCTTCTTGTGCTCTGGCCCTGGGACAGTGCAGGGAATGCAGCCTCTGTGACACCTCCCGGCATGTTCCCGCTGACCCAGGGAAAGTCACGGGGCTGTGTACTCTACCCACACACTGACCAGCACCCACCTGTGCTCTGCAGACCATACAGCAGTTCTTGGAGCATAGTCTAGGCTGGCCGGCACTAATTAATGTGGTTTTGGGAGAACGGATCTTAAGAGCTCAGCACAGGCTGTTGGCAACCCTGAGATTAGGGTAAGGATGAGACAGTGAAGGTATGGTGGGAATGGGAGTGGTGGGCCTGGTACGTACCCCTTGGCCCTGTCCACACTGGGCTGTAGAACAGGCGTGGGGCCATGCCACAGCACTGTCCTCTATGTACCCAGACTCCCTATACTCAGTACTATTCCTGTCCTTTGGGAATCTGCTTCAGGACTTCAGATATGGACTCTGTGGAAGGGGTTACGGCACAGTCAGGCACATATAACAGTTGAATTGCAAGGGCAGGCGTAGCCTTAAGTCTTTGGTTCAGTCCTTGCTAGAGGAGTTTTACCTCTGTCAGTCCCTTTACAGTGCAGCCCTTGCTGTGCCGAAAGGAGGGGCGGGTAATGGACACAGTAAAACCGAAAGGGGAAAGTGGACAGCTTGCAACATATCCTCTCTTGTCTCTTTAGGGGGCGGCCTCCAAAGTATCGGAAGATCCAGCAGGAAGACTTCCAAAGTAAGCACCTTTCCCCATGCCATGGACTTGTCATGCAGGACTCTTAACAGTAACTCAAGGGTCAGTGTAGCTCAAGGTCTGGGGAAAGGGATAGAAAGATTTTGTCCCCACTATCATCAGGTCAGAGCTGGTCCTGGTGAGCAGCAAGCCCCCATGCTGAAACCTCTGTGGTGGCCTCTGTGTGAGGAGTGGGTGAGTCTCGGTCTGTTTCCTGGCTGGCTGGTTCCAGTTGGCTGTCCCAGCTGAGAGGCCACAGAATGAGCCATCCTCATGCTGTGCCTGTGTGGCAGGGCTGAGCAAGGCAGAGGGGTGGGGAGACATGGCCAGTGGTGCTGCTCCTGCTATCCCTGTTCTGTGGATGCAGAAAGCCTGGCTCTTCAGGGCTTGCCTGGCGGAATGTTCACTCCAAGCAGGAGAGACTGGGAGACACCCTGTGCTAAGCCCATCAGGGTGGCTGGTTGGCCTTGGCTAAACTGCCCTTGTGATTGACAACAGAGACTAAACTGAAGATAAAGATGTGGGGCCACGTCCTCAGGTGGTAGAAATGGACATAGTGGTCCGCGACGTCAGCGGAGCCGCCCTGATTTCCATCAATGGAGGATCTGGCTCCTGTAATTTGACTTGATTTGGTGTAGAGGCTCACAGTGGTGTTCCTGAAGGCCCTGACTCAGCAGCCCTCATAAGCACGTGCTTTGGAGATGCGCAGGCCTTCGGGACAGAGAAGACCCCTGTGACCTCTTATCCGACCCAGAAACGAAGGGTACAGTGTCTGTCCCGTGCATTGCGAGAGCTGACACCGGCGGGATGTGAGCACACGTTTGAAGTGATGTGTGTGCTCAAGGGCTTTGCAGTGTCCAGGCCTCAGGCTGAGCCTAGCTTTACTGAAACACGAGATGTATGCAAACAGGGCTGTGAACTCCCCTCCAAAGATGCATGACTGCCTGCCTGCCCCAGTGACTCTTGCAGCCCTGAAGTACAAGCCTACGTCGTTACTCTCACTCTTTGACTTGTCCACTTAGTTGTTTAATGCTTGGGTCTGGCTATACACACCTGTCCCCAGCCTGTTTTTCATCTCCCACACAACGCCCAGCTTGAATGGGGAGATCCACATTGTTACTGCTAAGACAGCAGTGTTCCTGGGGGCGGCCATCACCTGTCCAGGACTTTTATAACACTACCCTGACTAAATCTCAGCTGCTCCTGCAGCACCTTTGGTCGGGGCAGGGGGAGGGAGCTGACTGTGTCTAGCCACCCCCAAGAACACTGCTTGGGCAGCCCTGGGGCCACGGCAGCTGCGGAAATCATGGCGATTGCATAAAGTCTCAAATCTGAGACTTCCATGACAGACTCGCAGCCTTAAACGGTGCCATTGGGCTTCCTACTGAGCCTCCCTCCCCAGAAGTGGAGGCCACTGGAGAAAAGGCAGAGTCTTATTAATGGTTATGGGTCTAAGTGAATCAAGTATCAATACCCTTGCTGGGTGCTGCCCTAGGAGACTTTCCTGTGAGCAGTGTGTGCTCTCTGGGGAAGCCGTGCGAGCTAAGACTTGGTGCCAGGCTCCCCTGCAGGGGAGAGGAGCTGCCTCTCCCAGTCCACTCGGCTCCTGAGCACAGAACACCCATGGAGTTGCCACCAGCAGCCCTGCTCCTCTTTCTGCTCTGCTCTCAAAGCCCTGAGACTAGGGGGAGCCCCTGCAGAGCAGAGCTCCACGACATGCAGTCTCTGTCCCAGGTCTCACCAAAAACAGATTCCCCTCTGCTGCTGCATGGTGGTTGTAACCCACAGTGCCCCACGCTGCAGCAGGCATGAATGCTCACGGGCATCTTGGACTTATCCCCAGTTCAGCCCTTCTCGTGCTCTGTCTGCCCTGCAATCCCCCATCTCACCACCAGAGGGTTTGCTGCTACTGCAGCATATGGCAGTACATGGACTGGAATGTTTTTAGTCTTTCATGCAGCATCCTGAAAGCTAATTCCATCCCGCCCCTTTGTTCTTTAGCATCATCAATGGTGTGAGCTGCTGAATGGCCGCTAGGCGGCAATAGCAGCTTTTACAGCAAGAGCTGATCTGACAATGGCTGGAGCCTGCCTTGAAAATTCTGAATGAGGGAAACAAATGAGGTCACTTACAAGGAGCTCAGGAAAGTCCTAACTAGCTTAGTGATAGAAATGTAGCTGGATTAGTCTGGTGTAGCTGAAACGAAATACAGGACTATGTAGCACTTTAAAGTCTAACAAGATGGTTTATTAGATGATGAGCTTTCGTGGGCCAGACCCACTTCCTCAGATCAAATAGTGGAAGAAAGTAGTCACAACCATATATACCAAAGGATACAGTTAAAAAAAATGAACACACATGAAAAGGACAAATCACATTTCAGAACAGAAGGGGGATGCGGGGGGTGGGGGGGGGAGGAAGGTAAATGTCTGTGAGTTAATGATATTAGAGGTGGGGAACTAACTAGCTTAGTGAGAGAAGAGACCAATCTTGGTAAAAAATTGAAGGGACAGAGTTCAGCCTGAAATTGAGTGTTGGTTTGAAATGAAAGTTGGTGAGTGGAACATTGAACAGGAGTGTTTTCATAAGTAACAAACAAAAATGATAGCCCCATAGCACCGGAATGTACAAGGTAACAGCAAGGGGCTAGGGCATGAGAAACAGCAAGTGACACCAATTCTAAAGAGAAAGTGAAACTGACCAGTCTAGCATCACAGCCAATATCTATGGAGCTCTGCAAATCTATGGATATCTGCTTTATATCTACAGGTATCTGCAGCCACAGATGGGCTTGCAGATAGCCACGGTTCATTTTTGCAAATACAGTTGCAGATGTATTCACACAGAACTCTACAGATCTATTTTAAATTAAATGCAAAAGGTAAACACACAGCAGAAATGGTGATCAGATCTTTAAATTATTTTCAGTTTATCTAAGTAAGGAGGTGTGCATGTCTATATACTGTCCTGTGTATGTTCTTATCAATTTTATGCTCTGACTGTAATAGAGGGATATGATCAAGTTAAATAAGTTTACATTAACTATTGCTAAACAGACATTTTTCCCTCTGAAACAGCGTAACCTCAATCATGTCATGATAAAGAGATTTGCAGTGTTACCGTAGCCATACTGGTCTCAGGGTTCTAGAGAGCTAATATCTTTTATTGGACCAACTTTTATTGGTGAAAGAAACAAGCTTCTGAGCCACACCGGGCTCTTCCTCAGGTCTATGGAACCTTTCCTAGAACTGAAGAAGAGCTCTGTGTAAGCTCAAAAGTTCCAATAAAAGATATTCCATCCCTCCACTGTGTCTCTATTATAAAAAGACACCATCATGATAGAAATCGTGACTGTGTTATTTTTCTGGGACACAGTTCCACTGTATCAGAGAAGAATGTCGTCTACTTAGCAATAGTTAGCACAGCACAACTCTTCTTATCTGATACCTGAAACCCCTCCAGTGTCATCCCCCATGTCTTCTCAGACCCGTCAAGCCATTCAGGACCTGCAGGATATGACTCGATTTCTTTGGCCTTCCACTTTGTGTAACATTTTGAATTTCTTTGCCAGCTATTTCCTCGGACAACATGCACCAGTCCCTCTTCATGTCGGCCTTATCTGCTCACCCTGACCGCTCCCTGTCCCTCTGCTGGGAGCAACACTGCAAACTCCTGCCAGGGGTGGCTGGCATCACAGCTGCTACTGTGGCCAAGTGGACCATTGATGAGGTGAGGGAGTTTCAGAGAGGGCTGGTAAAGCAGAGAAAAATGTAGAAATAGAGGGTCAAATTCCCAAAGTCACATGTGCAAACTCCCCTGTGTGCATGGCTCCCCGGCGAGGGTGTCCTTTCCCTCCAGCTGGGAATTAGTGCACGTTGCCAGTGGGAGCCAAACAGGTTCCACAGCCTCTCCAATTCCTCCCAGCTCTCCACTCTCAGTGCAGCACTCATCTCACAGACGCCGTCTCCGTGCTAGAGCCCCCCACTCATCCAGCCACTGGTCTAATTGGTATGGCAGGAGAGCGTACCCCTCAAAGAGCCTGTCAGTGATTCCAATACGTTCTCACTTGATTAGCAATTGGACTGGAACCAGTCTCTTGAGTCTGTGCCAGGACATGGCCAGCAGCCAGCTGTTTACTTACTTATTTTATTACAAACCTTTCCAATAAATCCATTTGGGCTTTTTTTCATGTATTTTGGTAAGTAGCAAGTTAAAGACAAAACAACCCTAAAGCCAAGCGAGAGAGTCAAACCCAACCCTCGCTGACCCACGGTTCTAGCCAAGCTCCTTATTAACACCTCCTGCTGCTGCTGCCAAACACTGCTGTGCCTGCTCCCTAGGCACTCTTGGGCGCTCCAGCCACGTGGCCTTGCCCTGCACTCTGCTCTCATGATCTAAGGTCTCCGCCCCACCTGCTCCAGTGCCCATCCTTTGCTGAGGTGTCACCTTATTGTGGACAGCAAGTAGCTGCACTAGGGGTGTTAGAATAAAAGGCTCTTTGCCTCCCGTTTGACGCCCGGCTTATAGAGAAAGGAGCAGCTCTTGGCCGGAGCAAGGCATGCAGATATCTGGAGACTCCCTGCTCTGGAGATGCCAAGAGGCGTACCTGAAAGGGGTGCTCAAGAGGAGAGATTTCAGGCAGGCTAATTCCCTGGTTCTGTTTCCCTTCATGTCTCTTCCAAAGGTCTTTAGCTTTGTTCAGACGCTGACGGGTTGTGAGGACCAAGCCAAACTCTTCAAGGATGAGGTAGGGAGACTGGGGCCCTGCGTGTGCGCGAGGGGAGCAAAGGAAGCCCATTTGCAGTCAGAAGGGGATGGGAGAATGGGCTGCCTACGTGGCCTCCTACCACCGGCCTCTGGAACTCTGCCCTTCTGCTGCCAAAGTAACAGGCCATGAGAGCATAGCCCCAGTGGCCAGTTAGCCACACCCATGTAGTTCCCTCAGGCGTCTGTCTGTCTGTCTGTCTGTGTGTCAGGCACATGAGGCACCACGTGGATCCGCTCAGGTACAGTAAGTAGATAGATACGGTCACACCCCCTGGATGGGACAAGTGTGGTTCCTGAGACCAGGGACTGGGGGTGGGGGAGTTCCGAGGGCTCAGCGGGGGAGCAGCAGAGCCAGCAGTTTCCTGTATGCTGAGTGCTGGGCGGACGCCCATGAGAGATTCACATGCCACCCAGATGATTAGCAGAGCGCACGTGGCCGGCAGCATGTGTTTGTGGTGCTGGTGCACATCCACATGTGCCGTGGTGCACATAACAACATTTATTCTGCAGGTGGAAAAATTAGAGGGAATGCTGGCAGCCAGTTCTGCATCCTCCTGCCAAAAGGTGGCTGGCTCAGTTCCTTTTGGATCTCGATTGCTGGGGATTACATGCCCCGCTGGAGTCCCAGGGTATGTCTACACTACCCCCCTAGTTTGAACTAGGGGGGGTAATGTAGTCATACGGAGTTGCAAATGAAGCCCGGGATTTGAATTTCCTGGGCTTCATTTGCATGAAGCCGGCTGGCGCCATTTTTAAATGCCGGCTAGTTTGGACTGTGTGCCGCGCGGACGAACTACCTAGTTTGGATTAGGCTTCCTATCCGAACTAGCTGTATGCCTCGTGGAACGAGGAAGCCTAATCCAAACTAGCTAGTTCGTGCCGCGTGTAGCCGCGCGGCACGCAGTCCGAATTAGCCGGCATTTAAAAATGGCGCTGGCCAGCTTCATGCAAATGAAGCCCAGGAAATTCAAATCCCGGGCTTCATTTGCAATTCCGTATGACTACATTACCCCCCTCTAGTTCGAACTAGCAGGGTAGTGTAGACATACCCCCAGATCCCAGGCTGTGTTTGCAGCTCTAGAGGTTGCAAAGCTTTTTGACCCCTACACAAAGCACATATAACCTGGACTTGTGGGCGGAGAGCTACTCAGTTACTTGTGCAGAGCTACCCGGACTGGCTGCCTCAAGGCACTTCGGTTGCTGGAAGCAACTCTGTCTGCCCAGTGAATGGCCTGCCTTTTCACTTGCCTTGATGCCATTTTCCATTGCCACTTGGCAGCATGCTCACGGGGTGAGGCTGGGGAGAAGATTTGCACTGAGCAGGAAGCAGATTTGCATGTCCCTAGTTCAGTGGTTCCCAAACTTTTTGGCATCACGCCCCCTTTTTGATTTTTGAGAAACGCTCATGCCCCCCCTCCCAAAAAAATAGCAGCAAAACTTGGTGTGTGTGGCTGGGTTGCCTCGTGCCCCCCCTGGAATTTCTTCACGCTCCCCCAGGGGGGCATGCTGCCCCAGTTTGGGAGCCCATGCCGTAGTTAGTCCATCCTAAGAGCTACCTTGCTGGCCATGCGTGCACGTCTGCTCCTTGTTTGGCCCAGGAGGACAGGTTGGGGATGGGCAGCGCTGAAGCCCAGATTTCCTGCAGCATGATGTGCATGTCAAACCCAGCCCCCTCTCTCCTGCAGATGATTGATGGGGAGGCATTCCTTCTGCTGACGCAAGCCGACATTGTCAAGATCATGAGTGTCAAACTGGGCCCGGCGCTCAAGATCTACAACGCCATCCTCATGTTCAAAAACGCCGATGACACCTTAAAGTGACCGTGCCCCTCAGCCTGGGAATGCCCTCGGCTCGGCAGCTGCCAAAGCTGTCTGTCTGACTCACGGGAGCAGAGACCGTCCTACTGCAGCAGCTGGAAAATCCTGCTCGCACCTTCTCTGAGTCGCCTTCTCTGTCCTTGAACCAAATTCGTCTCTCGTCTTTCTCTCTCCCTGTCCTGTTATACTTCTCTCCCGGCCTGGTGGGCGAGCTGCAGTTGGGGTACCACAGACCTGCACTCTGCCTCTGATGCGTTTAAAGTATTGTGGATGTGAGACAGGATAGCCCCCTGCCCTTCATATGCTTCTGACTGACCATGTTCCATAGGAGGGTGTGTGTGTGTGTCTGAGTGTGTGAGAGAGAGATTCTGAATGAAGGAGGTACTAGGGTGTGGAGGGCTGAGGGACGGTGCTACTCAAGAAACCAAGATTGAATTTTTGGTGTTCTCATAAGATTTAAACTGCCTCCATGCACCCCTTCTCTCTCATGCACCTGACCCCCACCCACTTCTATTTTCCTTTTCTTGGTGGTTGAAAAGGGTTTTCCCAGCATGTTTGCTGCGCTGGGGTTGGTGTTTAAAGGGACATTCTCAAGTAGCTTTTGATAACATTCCACTTGGTTTCTCTCCAGTTTTTGTAACGTTCCCTTTGAAGCTAGGCAGTAACTTGGCTTTGCCCCAGCCTTGTGTCACCTTCACCATGAGGCAACCTGAATTTTCTTCTATTTCCTTTTGTTTCTCATGGGGAACAAGCCCATCATGCTCTTTATGCTGCAGATCTCTTTGCTGCTGTGGGTCAGTGTTTTATTACTGTTTATTATTTGTGTTGCAGTAGCAGCCAGGAGCACAAGTCATAGACCAAGTCCCCACTGTACTAGGTGCAGTACAAACACAGAACACACCAGTCCCTGCCCCAAAGAGCTTACAGTCTAAGTATAAATGTACCAGCCGTGTCAGCACTTCTCTGGGAATAAGGATAGTCAGGTCAGTTGTGCTCCCTCGGCTGGGTGGGTGGTTGCTCTGCTGCACAGATATTCTTTGCAGAGTCGGAAGGACTCTCTTCCTTTTTGACTCTGGTGAGGTTTTATCTTCAGATCTCAGCAGCCCTTCCGCATCAAACTAAGCAATTCAAGGAAGGCCACGCTGTTGTCCGTAGTTACTTGACACCCGTTCCCCTGGGACAAGACATGCAAACTGCTTTTCCAAAAGACAATCACTTGCCAGTTATTAACAAAACAGCCTCTTGGGATTGGCTGAGAAAAGGGTAGTGCAGGGTTTGTACTGGCATGCAGCTAACTGCCAACCATGTAAAAGCTTCCAGAAGGGCCAGTCAGAAGAGGTGTAGTCTGGGTAGAGGAACCACAGTCCCCAGTCCACGCTCTGTCAGGTTAGAAACATGAATCAACCGTTTCCTTTGTCCCCATCCCCACCCCCGGTCAACTGATGACCGCTCCTACCATATGCACCAGCAACATGTCTCATAGCAACATGGCATATGATGTCCACTTTCATGTACATATGGGTCAAATTCATGCTAGGCTTCCCATGGAAATGCAGCATTTTGACTCTTTTTATTATTGACTCTTTGGGGTCACATTTGATCTGCCATTCCAATGATTGCTGCTTGCTATTCATAAAAGATGTTACGCAATGTATGGGGGTTTTGTACACGTTTGGGCTTGTTTTGCAAGCTCTCTTTCTTTCCCTTTCATTGTCTTCTCTCCGTTCAAATCCTGACCTGTGTTCGTCTGCGGGGAGAAGCAAACTGGGGGGTGAGGAGTTGTGGGCTCTGGAACCAATCCTTCCATAGATGCATTCTGATCCTCAGCAAGTGGTGCCAGATTGGCCTCTGTGTCCAAAGAGGAGCTCTTCTCCTGGGCCGCTGTTGATTTGGATGGGAGGAAGAAGAAAAGCGGTCTTGGGATATAAATGTGGTTTCAGCTTTGGGACGCTCCATGTCAACATCCCTTGAAATATCTCCAAACTGATCCAAAACGAAAGTCAGTCTCCTGGTCAGCTCTTGATATCCCCACAAGAGGCTCAGTCCATGTATTTACAGGAACTATCCACAACAGAGGAAGAAAGGAAGAAATATTCTGTTCTTATCAGCTCCGTCTCCACCTACTAAGTGACTATGTTCCTCTTTCACTTACGGGCAGGCAAAGCAGCCGTGATAGCTGGATGCCACAGGCACACTGTGGGCTCCGCACTGGAGTGGAGAGTCGGACACCTGAGTCGTACTCTGCATTTGAAGTTATGACGACAGATCGAGTAACTGGTTCTTGGGGAGGCTGTTCCAATAAGTGGGCCTATTTTGAAAGGAACAGGGGCTGTAGCAGCCAGCCTAGGATTGTCTCCCTGGAATCTCAATGGCCAATGGGACACTGGATGAGCTGTTTTATGGCTACTTGACACCTTCCAACTTTCAGCTGGATTTCTGGCCTCCTGTGAAACTAACGTTTTGATTAGCCATCTGGGGGCTCCCCATCGGTGCCCATCCAACTGAGCCCACCCAGCCCTTACAGACAGCATCTAGAACCGTGGTGTCCAGCACGCTAGCTGCTAGCCACATGTGGCTATTTGGCTGATTGAATGTGGCTAGTTGGCTTGAACAATGTGGCTATGTGACCGGTTGAATGTGGCTATAGTGGCTACTGCTTCAGAACTGGTTGGACACCACAGGTCTAGGAGATTTTACCTGAACTGCATTCTCACGTCCCTGCAGTGTAACCTTGGACACAGACCAGACCGGACTGAAATGCCCACCTCTAGGGGAGTCTAGGTACAGCCCCGTCAAGGTCTTTCAGGGGATTATCTCAGGTTGGCGCTCCCCAGGAAGATGATCCTCACTGTAAATGTGAAGTGAGACAGAGTGTTGGTGTCTGTGTGCGTGTGTTTGTGGTAATGAGCCTTCTCGTCACACTCGCTTAGCTACTGCCCCAGCCCGGAGTCCATTCCCCTCTTGCGTGGACTGTTTCCTGACCTTTGAAGTATGAAGCTTCTGAATTGGTCTGGGTGAGAGAAATGCAGATTTTGTAGATGGCCAAGGGCTATGTACTGTTACAGCTTGTAATGTTCTTTTTTCTTTTTAAAAAACCCAAAGCTGTGTGAGAGTGTGAGTATGTGTGTGTGTATAAGTAGAGGGAGAGAGAGAAAATCAATGGATGCTACTTCCTCCACTTCTCAACTGTTTTTGTGACATGTTCTTTTCATTGAAGGGACATGACTCTTGTGATATTAGCAGCTGGCCATATGGCAGCATTTGGGCGGAGGAGTAGAACAGTCTTTCCCTGACTGGAATTGGTTGACAATTATCTGCCTAATGATAGCTGGGCTGGGTTGTTTTGGTCAAAAATCATTGATTCATCGAAATTGAAACTTTTACTTCGAATGTATCAATTCTGGTTACAGCTTTGGTGGGAAGGTTCCTCAGATTCAGGATGGAATTTCTGGTCAAAATCAGAGACAAGTCCCAGTATCCCCAGAGCCCTCATAGCTATGATACAGAGAGCTGAGCCTGGGTCTCCCAAAGCCCACCTGTATTCTCACCATGCGACTATGGTGTAGTGGGGGTGGGGCTCTCTTTTTAAAAAGAAGTGTCTGATGGCTCTCGAGCTTGTCCTAGTGCAGAATGGGAAATTTTTCTGGAAATCTTTTAAAACGGGATGAGAAAAGCATTGCCTGCCCAGCTCTCTCCGTGACCTGCTGTTCTCCCTGACCCTCAGGGAAAGTCTAAGAAAGAGAAGCTTTTCCTCTGTTCTGACCTCAGAATTAACAAAATAGTCTCTGCAATTCATAAATGCCAAGATCTGCTCCCTGTTTTTTACTAGTTAGACGTCCCACCAGCTCAGGGAGCACTGAGATCCATGCACAGGAAAAGCTAACGCCCCTGGTGAGGGTTTTAATCCTTAACCTCCTAGCAGGCCGGATTTCTCACTAGTGGCACGCTCTGCAGTGTTTCATCTGGTTGAGCTTGGCCCAGGAGTCTTCTCGGCACTCGTTTTGGGGGAAGCCAGAGCAATGTCTCAAACAGACGACTTAGTTTCAAACCTTGCCCCTGGCTATGCCTGCCCTTTGGGGGGGCAGTAGAGGGACTGGGAGCTGGTGGTGCAGCACAGAATTATCAGTGGGGCCAGGCAGGACAATCAGCCAGTCCTTTGCCCCTATGATGGCAGCAAATTCCTGTCTCACAGTCCACCCCCTCCCGCCCCGTGATGGTTGCCATTGGGTGCTGACGATGGCGAGGCTGACTGTGATTGTGACATCCTGCTGCTGTGGGAAGACAGCACAATGTGAGCTCAGCCAGGCAATGGGGCTGCCCTCCATGTTCGTTCTCATTCCAGCAGCCAGGCCCATGGAGAGGGAGAAGAGGCAGGCCCCCGACTTCC